GCCCAGCGCCAGTGCTGCGAGCTCCCGGCGGCGTGGGCATTCACTTTGCTGCTGGTACTCTCTCCTTCCCACGGGTCTTCTGATGGTTTGCGGACTCTGACCCTCTACTGTGCTTTAACAGGAAAACTTTGCTCCTGTTTCCTCCATCAAGGAAAGGACTAAAAGTTCCAGGAACTGGTGCCGCCGTGTCGGCGGGGCTTCAGTCCCACCATGTGCACCAACATAGTTTACGAATGGCTGAAGGCGCTGCAGCTCCCGCAGTACGCCGAGTCCTTCGTGGATAACGGCTACGATGACCTGGAGGTCTGCAAGCAGATCGGGGACCCGGATCTGGACGCCATCGGTGTGCTGGCGCCCGCGCACCGCCGCCGCATCCTGGAGGCCGTGAGCCGGCTACGGGAGCAGGACGCCGCCGCTGCCGGCCTTTACTTCACGCTCGAGCCGCAGCCGCCGCCCTCCGACGCCGTCCCCACCGGCCGCCGGGGGGAGCCGTGCGGCGGCCCGGCCGGCCGCGCCCAGGGACCCCGCGGGGACCCCCGCAGCCAGACTGCTGTCCCCCGCAGCAGGGAGTTGGTGAGCTACCCCAAGCTGAAGCTGAAGATCATGATCAGGGATAAGCTCGTCCGCGACGGCATCCATCTGAGCAAACCCCCGTACTCCCGCAAGGTAAGGGGGCGCCAGGGCGGCGGGGGCGCGCGGCGGGAGGGGACGCGGTGCTGCCGCTTTAGCTGAGGCTTGGCGGCCCAGTATAGGTGACGGCCGAGAGGCAAGGCTGCGTTGGGTGTTCGGGCTTCTCTTCTATTTTCTTTCTATATTAGCGCTTTATTCCTTCCTTCCTCGTGTCTCCAGCTGTTGGAGAGACAAGATCTCACATCCAGGTGTTAACTCTAAACTAGGACCAAGTCTCTAGTGCTCACCTGTCGGGAATTGGCCTCTCAGTGGTCCTGGCAGCAAAGGGAGGTTCTTAATGATCTCCTGAGCAGTGTTTGAGTCTGAAGGGTTGGAGAAGAATGGTTAATACCCACATTAGTTTCAACTTTCCTTTTCTCTTTCCTCTTCTGAGAAACTCCCAGGGGAAATAAGCAAAGTCTCTTGTAAGAGTGGGGAAACAGGCCCTGTTCTCTGTTCCATAAAGTCAATTCTCAGCCCTGCTGCAAATTTGAAAAGTGTACCATTAACATGAATGTTCTGGGGGGAAAGTTAAGGAAACATATGCTAGCTAGTCCACTTGAGAAAATTGTTTACACTTAAGTATACAAGGATGTAATAAAGTGCTAAAGACAATTAGGGCCACTCACGGAGTTTTTCAGAGGTCTGAAACCCTGATGGTGTAGTGGTTAAGAGCTATGGCTGCTAACTAAAAGGTTGGCAGTTTGAATCCACAAGGTGCTCCTTGGAAACCAAATGGGGTCCTGACTATGAGTCAGGAATTGTTTGGTTTTGGATACTGGGTCAGGGGTCTGGTTTATTATTAGTCCAGAATGATATAATATAGGTACAGTTGTGCCTTCTAGAGGGAGCCTTGGTGGTGCAGTGGTTAAAGTACTTGATTGCTAACCAGAAGGTCCGTGGTTCCAACCAGGGAGGATTATCCAATAGGAAGGGTTAAGCATGGTGTTTACCTTGCTTGTCAGATCATCTGTAGTGAACAATTTCACATTTTTTCACCACATCAAAGGTTCTGCTTGTAGGTGTGGCTGGCATGTGTCTCTCCCCCAACCCCACAGCGCCTTCCTACAGAATCAAAGCCTGTTTTCAAATTTACAATCCCTGACAGGGATGGATGACCTAGTAACAAGGTAAGCACAGGCTTACTTGTGCTGATGTGGTGAAAAGCATGTGAAATTGTTCACTACAGATTAGGAAGTAAGCACAAGTAAGTCCATGCTTACCTTGCTTTTTGGATAATCCGCCCCTGGTTGGAACCAGCCGCTCTGCTGGAGACAGATGCAGCAGTCTGTAGCAGTCAGCTTTCAGAAAGATTTACAGCCTTGGAAGCACTATGGGGCAGTTCTTCTCTTTTCTATGGGGTTACTCGCTACCAGTTGGAATCCTCTCAAGGGCAGTGGGTTTGGTTTTGGTTTTGGTGGCTTCTAGAAAGTCCGAGTGGACCCACATTTGAGAGAAGAGGACAGGCCATAAGGAAATGTGATTTTCTCCTCTGAGGGAGTCTCAGGGAAAGGTCTGGAAGTTATCACGGCTGCTCTGTGGGGAAGGCTGAGATATGGACTTGGGTGCTGAATACAGTAATTAAGTAACAGAAAATCCGATTTCAGACAAGAGCTCTATCTCCAGCTCGGAGTCTGTTCAGTTTGGTTTCTGCAGCCCTTCAGGTAGAGGGTCCTGACTTTAAAGAGAGTTGACAGCATCAAAGCAATGATACTGGAACATGACCACCTCAGCTTGAAAATCATGACATAGGGAGGAAACAGTGGCAAAGATACTGTGGCTGGCAGGGAAAGTAAACTCAGCAGTCTGAAAGGGAAATGGGGACAATCCAAGTGTTGTGTGGTCGTTGTGAGGTGCTCACCTGGTTTCATAGTAAAGGTAACAGTGCCTGGATGTATGGAAGTTCAAGGGGAAGCTTTATAAAAACGAGATAACAGTATGAGTGGAGGAGGCCATAAGAAGCGTCAGTATTAGCCATCTTTTATCTTGCAAATAAAAAGGGCAATTCACATAACTTGCTTGAACTTGTCAATTGGTTTATAAAGACTATGTAAAGAGGGTAGGTTAGGAAGGCTGCTGGCCTCCAATGAAACATATGCGGCCCACTCTGACTGTGTTACTGACTTTTGCCCAAAGCAGGAGAATGGAGAGAACGCATTACCTGTACAGTTATAGGTAGAGAGGTGCCTAGTGTGGACAGAGGGACTCTCATCGTCACTATAAAGGTTAGTTCGTGGAGACAACAGTCCAAAGGAGCTGGGGACCGGTTCGCCATTTCCTGTTAGCATCCCAGCGGGAGTACAGTTTAATCTGTGGCCAGAGAGGCCTGGAGCAAGGTGTGTCACTAGGGCTCATTCTTCAGGAAAGGTGCTGTGTGGCAGGGCTGAGGGGGCAGAGGAGAGGCTGGGCTAGAGGTGAGAGTGGTATGCCTGAAGTAACAAACTTGGGTTCTGATTCTTAAGAAGAAAACACAGACCTAGGGATCTAACTTTGAAGCAGATTTTAAGGATGTGAGATGTCTGAGCGCAGACTTTGAGCAGTGAGTGATATGGGGGTGCATATGGAGTGCAATTTATATAAGAAGATTTTAACTTGCTTTGTAACACTGCACCACCAGGGCTAAAATTTATATGATTACACGAAAGTACACTCACGTAGGACATACCCTCAGCGCTCGTGAATTTGTAATGGTATTACAGGGTGTTCGTGATGTTTTATGGAGTCCCGTAGAGTTTGGCAGTACTGTGACTGGGGGCTGTGGTGGGTGTGAATGGTGTGGGGTTGTAAAGGTATTTTATTTTCTACAGTCTTAGAAAAGCACAAAGCAGGACCTGCGGTAGAGAGCGGATATAGTGTAGGCTACTCCTGAAAAGTATCTCCTTGCCACATCCTACTGATTAAAACAGTGCTAGTTAGTAATAACCTTATTTAATAATGCCACAGGAGTGTTAAACTTCATTCACACCTTGATGTGTAATTTTAAGCTACGAGACTCTCCTGGAAATAAGGCTATTTGTGGAGATTTTGGAAGGATGGCCTAGGATGAAGGAATTTGGAGAGAGAGAAAGCAAAAAGGCTTTTGTGTCTTGGGCCAGGGTGGAGAGGTAGAAAAAGTATTTAGAAAGGAAATAGAGAGGTTCGAAAAGATATCCTTTGTGTTCTTTGGAATATTGCCTTGGATCCTGGCAGAAGATGAAATGACAATAAACATTCCTCCCTTCTAAGAATCCTCCCTGCCCTCATGAAGTTACTAGAGACAGAGTGGAAGCTGGCAAAGTTCAGTTTTCCCAAACTCAAGCCAGTCTCCTCACATAGCCTCAGCCTAGGCAAGCAAAGGTCCTTCTAGGCTTTTTGTCTTCCCTCCCTGATTGGAGCACTGTGGAAAGAAGGGAAGAGACAAAAGCTTGGTTGGAGGTGAGGCAGATGTTTTCCTCATACTCCTTACAGTGCGTTGTTGATGGAGTTTCCATCCATTCATCCTCACATCCACCCATCCACTTAACAGACATTGAGCACATGCAGTGCATGTGCTAGGCCCAAGGATTACAGCAGTGAACTAGATAGACATGGTCCCTATTTACAATTTAATGAATGTGTATGTGGAGGGTCTAGCCCAGCGTCAGACACGTAGTAGGTGTGCCATGTGGAATTTGAACATCATTTCCACAGATACCAGGGGTGTGAGAATTTTGACTTGTATTTATTTCAAATGTTAAAAAATGTACTATTAGACTAATGCCTGACTCATGGTAAGGGCTCACCTATGTTAGCTCCTATTGCCCCTGTACCTGGCTTTGCTTGGACACTTCAGCCTCCATAGCTGTGTGTTGGCTGTGTACAGGAGAGTCCTCTGGCCCAGTCTCATTGCTCATGATAGAGGGGTTTGGTCATGTATCAGTGGTAGATTTTTAGTACAAACAGTGCCCTGTCATTTCTATGTGCCTGAAGATACAGTAATGAAAATGATTTTTAAAAGTATGAACATTGCAGAATATAGATGTTCAAAGCAGTCACTTGGAAGTGGTACTCCAGTGGTACTCATGTTATTCAAACATGAGTACTCATGCAGTAGTACTCATATTACTCAACACATTTCTGAAACTTCTTGCCAAATTTCCTCCAGTGCCTGGAGAACATCCTTTGGAGTGTCTCCGTGGTGACAAACCTTCATTTTTCTAAGGTGGATCTGGTCTGGAGTAAACACCCAAAGTATCTGAAATGGAATCAGGCAATTAAAACCAGTGACATTCAGTAAAATGTGAAATGGAAAATGGAATCTGACAACAAAATAAGGACTATTTTAAGGGGGATATGTATAACCCATTTTATATTTTATGTTATATATAATCCATTTTCTAGTTTTGAACCCTTAAAAAATACGCTCTTTGTGTGTATCCATGTTTGCAAATATGGAAATTCCCCAAAAAGGCTTTCCAAAACACAAGTCAGCTCCCCATTTATATACAAAGAGCACAGCACTGGTCATGCATTGTCTCAAAAGTAATTAGCGTGAAGGTGCCTAAATGGGAGGCATTAGGTGCACTGTGCACAGGTATTAGGTAAACGGCACTGCACGCAGTGGTTTAACTGCGTTTGTGTAGTGTGAATGTGTTCTTACGGCAGGCTGTTCATTAGCTGGCTCTACTGTTCTTAGAAAGCTCTCTTCTATACACTGCCATGCAACATCTTAAAGGAGTCTTAGTTGTACTCATTGTGCCTCCCAACTCTTAAGTGAAGGATGGGCAACATGAGGGTATTAAGGCTGCCCTCATGAACCTTGTCTGCTTCTAGGTAGTTGTCTGAGGTGTACCATGAAAAATAAGAAAGAAATGTATTTTGATAAAAGTGCACTTCTTTTCAGATTATGTAAATGCTTAGATTCTGATTCACCAGAAATACGTTTGGAAATAAATTTTCCTGAAGCAAGATGAGTTAGATGACATGGAAATAACCAGCGCTGGCCCTTGAAATCAGCAAGAGAGAGCCGGGGGTGTTGG